TTGAGACATTTTTACAAATACTTTATAGACAATCTTAGTTACCTATGTCATTAACCTTATTTCTTTCCATCTGTTTGAAGTACTGTGTCAAAAAACTCAAAATATCATAATTCCAATGAGGCAATTTATCAAATAGGTGGTGTGCAAAGCAAATCTATAGAGAAATAACCCTCGCCATCCATATCGACCTCCGTTACGCCAGCGCCGAGTTCTCCTTTCTCCGACTTCGTGGTCTTCGCTTCCTCCTCAAATCTCTTTGATCCATTGCCCAATTCGATTCCACTGTCCTCCTCTTTTGCCACACACAATCCATCCCTAAGCTTCGAGGTTCTTTGACTTCCACTCCACCAATTCCATTTTATTTTTCCTTTTTAATTGATATGATGAAATACCAAAATTAAGAATTGAAATTCATAGGGTAAATAGGGGAATCTGAGATACATGCAATTTTCATTTTAAAATACACAATTTTAAATACAGGTATTTGAAACAAATTCAGATACACTTTTATTTACTATAAACAAATAGTTTATTTAAATTTGAAGTCTCAAATTCAAATACACTTTTAATCAAATTCACATTCCCAAACATAGCATAAAAAAACAGTAATTTTTCTCCCCACTGTTCTGTCGTCATCGACCGGTTGAAGGGCCGGACGATGTTCTGTTGTGGTTTCAACACTTTTTAGCTCCAATCCCGGTGCTCGAAACTCCCACCTCTGATTGTCGCTCCCATGGGGCTAGTCCTTGATGGGTCTAATAGCACCAAAACCAAGAGAATCAAGAATCAAGAAGGGAGGAGAAAACAGAGTTAGGGAGGAACAAGAACTAGAGAAAGAGAGAGAACCAGAGAGGAGAGAAAAGGGATCTACTTCTTTTATTCATCAATCAACAAAAGAATTACAAAGTGGTCCCTTTATATATTTGGGGCTGATTACAAGAGATAGTTGGGTTAACCAATGAATCACTATCTAACATTACTTCTAACTAACTACAAGCTGTTCTAACTAGTCCGCAAGTTTCTTGCTAACCACTTGCATAGTCAGCATAACCTTCCAATTGTAAATCCACTTCAGCTCCATCTTGGTAGCATTGGCCTACAATTTAAGCCTGTATCAACTACACCCTCCCTTAAAATCCTTGACTGCAAGGATTGGGATTAAAGTCAAGAAATCTGGCCATGAAATCAATGCAAACTTCCCAGGTGGCTTCTTCATTTGAATGATTCTTCCACTTAATCAGCCACATAGTGATTGCATTCCCTTGCTTATTCTGAATTTTCCTATCCAAAATTGCTTCCAGTTAGAACACTTGAGCGACACCAAGTAGTGATTCAGGAAAGGAGGAAACACTCTCATTGTCCCCAATTTTTTTCTTTAGAAGAGACACATGAAACACATCATGAACTCTAGTCGTAGCAGGCAATTTCAACTTGTAAATGACTAATCCAATTGTCTTAAGCACCTGGAATGGGCCACCAAACCTTGGAGAAAGTTTGTTACTATGGTTGGTCAACAGAGAAGACTATTTGAAAGGAGTGAGTTTTAGATAAACCCAATCACCCACTAAGAACTCCCTTTCCACTCTGTGCTTTTTAGCTAATTGTTTCATTCGATTTTGGGCTTGCAAGAGGTGATGCCTAGTGATTTTCAGTGCTTGCTCCTGTGCTTGTAAAGACCTGTCAATTGCTTCAAATTGACAAGCACCAAAAATATAAGGCACATGCAAAATAGGCTTCTGACCATAAAGAACTTCATAAGGAGAGGACTGTATAGTTGAATGAAAATTGGTGTTATACCACCACTCAGCTAAAGGTAACCAGGTACTCCATTCCTTGGGATTTTCACCACACATATAATGGAAATTGCTAGGTAGGCAAATTTCCATTTGGATTTTTTGTACATGACACTTACCTATGTAGGCACTGTATACATTTAGTGGGTCAAGATGAAGTTGGTAATAGAATTTCTAGGACAAAGAACATGAGAAGATATTTTACGAGTTTTTTGTTTAGAAATCTCACATGATTGTTTGTCTGTTATTATCACTTACCATCCTTAGATAAACAAAAAGTTGTACCGCTCATATGCTGAGCTTGTGTTGAATTTGAGGGTTAGTATAGATACATTCTAACCTCCTATTCACTACTTCACTTACTATAATAGCTACCAATTTGAGTATTAGTATGGCTATGCTTGGTGGTCCTATGCATTATGGATCTTCATGTGTGAGGAAGTCACTAGGTCCCGAAAATAAGATAAAACCCAATTTATAGTGTGTTATCTTCCAGCTATCCAGATCAAGTTGTAAACATTTTAGGTGCATAGTGAGAGGGGGTAGGTCTTTAGGCCAACTACATTGTTTTTATTAAATGGATCAAGAAGATGAAGTTGGTTAGAGAATTTATAGGATAGATTATGGGATAGAACACAAAAAGATATGCTCAGAGTTTGTATCTTGACTAATATGGATAGCTTGCTGTTTAGAAATCTCACATGATTGTCCATCATTATTACTTACCATCCTCAGATAAACAATAAGTTGTAGCATTCATATTGTAAGCTTTTGTTATTGAATTCAACGGTTAGTTTAGATTCATTCTCATCACCTATTTGCAAGTTCACATACAATAATAGCTACCAATTGAGTATTAGTATGGCTATGTTTTGTGGCCATGGGCGTTATGGATCTTTATGTGGTGAGGAAGTTGTTAGGTCTCAAAAATTTGACAAAACCTGAAAGTTGCTTATGGGGTCCTCTTCCAGCCAAGCAACCACCCAGATTGTAAAATTTTAGATGCATATTAATAGCATGCACGAATCTAGAGGGGGGGAGGGCTCAAGGCCAACCATGCTTATAGGGTATCCGTATCATATGCATGAACGGAAGCACTTTCTGAGCATTTCAAATATACCATCATCATTATATGCATGAAGTAAATGACATTTGATATATCTACATGCAAATCTCATTGTTGGAGAATTAGATATTCAAAATTATTTATATTTATAAGCAAATCTCTCTCTCGGTTGAATTAAGCAAAAGTTTTGAAACCTCAAAAAAGCCTTCAACAATTTTTTCCATTATTTTTGAATCATAGTAAAGAGCAAGATGCAAATAGAAAAGAGTCGAGATATAACTTCTTCTATATGAACCTCGACAGATTTTAATCTTTATATCAAATGAGTTTTCAAGCCCAAGTAGCTTAAATGAAATAATCCCATAATATCTTTACTTAATATTCTATTTTCCATTCCACACATTTCAGTCCTTTTTGTCTTCCTTCTCCCCCACACACCCACCACCTCACCTTTCGCCGTGGACTGGCCTCAACTTCTTCCAAAATTCTTCACGAGCTTTTGTTGAAATTTGTCACTCTTTTCCCCTCACTGTGTCTTTTGGGTCTCCTGGAAATGATTTATTTTCCTTTTAAAACAACGTAGACTATCTGGACTGGGCTTAGATTCTTTCACTTTGGACCAAACCATTAGGAACAAAGAGAGATTTTGTATTGAATCAATAAAATCTCATATACATTTTTCTCTACAAATGGGCTAAACTCACGCAAATCCAAATTGAGTTCGAACTGGTCTTAGATGATTACTTTTGGGTGGGCTCCGGTCGAAAGCAATCAGTGCCCAGTCCTAAGGTTAGCCCAAACTGATGGCATCTCGTTGAAAGTTCAGCTCAGCCCTCCAATTTCCCAAGAGGGAAAAAGCCTGGAATGGGTGAAGCAGCGGTTGTTCCTTAAGTGGGTATTTGGTTTTTGCAAGTAATAATAACAAGGCCGTGGTGGGTAGAGCAGCATATGCACATGTTACACGTTGTGAAAAAAGATCTGTCCATCAACCATGATTTTGTCAAAGAGACATGGAGTACACTAGCCCACTAAGACATCACATATTTCTTCTTCCATTCCACGGGTCAAAATTATGTTTCTAATCTTATTCCAAAGGGAAACTCACCAGAAACTGCTTTTTCCAATCGACCCAGAAAAAGCATCTTTTTTTTTTTTTACTAGGAGACACAAAAAGGTTTCAGTATCATGGACAAGAAACAATGCCTTTTCAAGACTAAATTGAGTGTCAATAATCATTTTGATGTGAGAAAAAAAAAAAAAAAAAAAAAAAACTCAGAACTTCCCCTTGTTTTTGTACCACCGTTCAAATTTCAAACACTGAATATATTCTTATTATTATATCAAAGAATATTAACGACTTATTAATATAAGTAAATTTTTTTTAAAATAAAAAATTTAATTTTTTTAAATAAAATTTTAAATTCATCTAATGTGATTTTCAAATGTTGAGAGGTTAATAAATAATAATAATAATAATAATTGTATCAAAGAGTCTTATAGACTTATTAACCGAAACTCTTAGATGAAACAATTTTTGTCGGTATGAATCCGGATATGAACTCTAACCCAAATCATGTGCATAAATATCAATTTATTATGAAACCCAAATCCAAATATATGGAACAAGGAATGAAGATTCAAGGGAGTTTCTTCAGTTCCTTATGGTGGGGGGGAAAATTAAACTGAAAAGAGGCAGTGAGATTCTGGGCCCTGTGGTTGTTTGGATGAATTTGAAGGCATCAACAATGGATGTTGAGTGTGTCCCCATCATCATAAGAAAAAACAACAACCATCCCCCAACAAAGCAATTTATGCCTTTATTTATTACATTTTTTTAAGAAGAAGAAAAAAAAAAAAAAAAAATCTTCCATCCTATCGCGCATTATCTGGGCTCCACTTTTTCCCTTTGTCGACTCCTGTCGGCTCTTCTCTCCCTCCATCTTCTTTTAATTTCATCCTTTACACACCATAATGTAATTTATTTCTCCTTCTTCCCTGCTTTTTCCTTGTCATGGATTAATTAATTTAAAGCTTCCCAAAGCATTCTTCCTTGCTTCTCCTTTTTCATAAAGTATTAATTAATATAAGATTACCCCATCAATCAATCTTTATGATTATAATAATTAAAAAAATTTAATAAAACTGTCATTTGATTCTTTTTCTATTGGCTATTTATTTCAAACTTTGAATTTGGATTCTTTAATTTGAAAGTCTTGGTATTTATTTGTTATTATAGGTTAATTGATTTAAGAAGTTGACATAAAAAAGATTTTTTTTTATATTTTGAATTATATACTGAAAATGATTCTCTTTAGTTTTCTTTAGTCATCTTAGTCCTATATCATACGAATTTGAATTAATAATTTCTCTTATTCTACTAAAAACAAAGATTACTATTATTTACTTCCACCATGATTTCTTCCATGTAAAGTTCATGCTTTTTACTTTTGAGATCTACCATTAATTGAATATAGAAAGAAAACAACTATTAAATTACTCAATAAAGAAAGTTTGATACAAAAGAAAATTTGGAGGTTAAGGGAGTTTTCTTTTTCCAAATATATTGTGAAGTGAAATGGATGCATGATGAGTCGCTTGATGTGCTTATACCATTTTCAAACATTTGAAAGGGACTTATGAGAAAATTTAGATCCACTAAATCAATTTGCACATCTAATTTCTTTCACTACAAGCAAACTATAGAGACTCCTCATTGAAACACTTGAGAAAATGAAAAAGTTGCTAACTATACATAGGATCTTTTGACTAAGTAGTAATCGAATTCCCTAATTAACTCAAAGCATCCTATGGAACATATATATTCCATTTCTTCTATACAATCTATAACAAGATGCAAATAAAGTAAGAGAGCTATATAGAAAACATAAATATTAATATATGAACATCATTATTATCATTTTTTAATGGGAAAATTTCATTATTATCTATAAATTATTAAAAATACAATTTGACTGTAAACATATATATATAAAAGTTACCATAAATCAAATTTAGTATATTTTAAACATATAGATCATACATGTTAATGATATGCAGTTTGTATATTCCCCTTAATTAAAATTAAAACGATCAGGAAGCCTAATTAACTGAAAAAGGATATGACAAGAGAGGGGAACAAGAATATAGACCTTTACCATTATGAGGTCAAAAAAGAGAAACCCACCACACAGTCATATATAATTCCACCCACATTGAAAAGAAAAACGAATAATGTAAACAGGATCAAAACAAAATCAGACAAAAATTCTCTCCTGCCTAAAATAAGACCAAAACGTGTACAGTGTCCATGTTGTAATGATATATCAATGTTTGAAGTCAAAACCAACGCACCATTCGTTTTTCTTTCGTATTCATAAAGTGAAAGCCAACACATAAAGCCACCATACAAACAATCTAAAACATTCTTTCTTGCACTAAAGAGAGCAGCTGCAGACAACTAAAGGTTTAGGTGCTGAATTCTCTCTCTTTCTCTCTCTCTCTATTCCTCTTTGTGAAGTCATCATCCTGCTTTTCTCTCTTCACTTTTCTTCTTCGTCTTCCTCCTTTCCTGATCTTCGGATTTAATGGATGCTGCTAAATGGTCACAGCAGGTAGGTGAATTTTTTTTTTTTTTTTTCTGAGTTTAACTGAGCTTTTATTGATGGATCTACTCTAGCTAGGGCTTTTTCTTTCCTTTTTGTTTTTTCTTTTATTATAAGTTCTTTTGATATTCATGGAGCGTACTGCAAGGTTTCATCATATGTGTGGATGGATCGTTACTTTTTAAAAGGAAAAAATTAAAAAAAGAAGAATAATTTTAATTTGTGTTCTTGGAACAAGATTTCATGAAAGCACTGCACTTTCTCTTTTTCATTTTTAATTTTTGGGGTTTTGTGATGACTGAAAAAGGATTTGTAAAAGGTATTATTTGTTATATATCATTGAAATCATTTCCTCTTCTTCTTCTTCTTCCTCTTTTGCCAGTTTAGGGATTTTTTATTTTTTATCAGCAAAGAATTAAGTTAGCATCTGCTTAATTGTACAAGGTAGAGATTGAGGATTTCGAAGATTAATATTATTTCTCTATTCAGGGTTTTCAAGATCATACTAGTTTGGTGAAGCCTATGGAGGAGATGGTTTCTAATACATGCAATAGGCCAACGTTAGAGAAAAAGGCAAGGCCACCGGAGCAGTTGAATTGCCCCAGGTGTAACTCAACCAATACTAAGTTCTGTTACTACAACAACTACAGTCTCACGCAGCCAAGATACTTCTGCAAGACATGTAGAAGGTACTGGACGGAAGGTGGATCTCTCCGGAACGTTCCCGTTGGAGGAGGTTCGAGGAAGAACAAGAGATCTTCAACACCTTCATCATCTTCAACCAAAGTCCCAGATCTAAACCCACAGTTTTCTTCTCAAAACCCTAAGAATATTATCCATAAAGGCCAAGATCTTAACTTGGCTTTCCCAGCTATGCAGGAGGGTAGCCATGGTCATTTATCTCATCAGTTTCTTCAAGTCCCCAAGATTGAGAGTAACCTCCCAAATTCATCTTCCTCTTCTTCTTCATCATCCTATAGTTCAGCTTTTGAACTGCTCAGGACTAGTGGGATGGTGTCTGGGGGATTGAATTCCTTTGTTCCTGGACCATTACCTGATTCAAATACTCTTTTTTCATCTGGGTTTACCATGCAAGACTATAAACCAACACTTGGTTTTTCAATTGATGGGTTTGGAAGTAGGGGCGGGATCCAAGAGAATGGAGGGAGAGTTTTCTTTCCTTTTGGAGAAATGAAGAGCACGAGTGAAGCAGATCAAAGTAAGGGACAAGGAAATTCAGGTGGGTATTGGAATAATGGGGCATTAGGTGGAGGAGGATCATGGCAATGAGGGACAGGAAACAGAAGAGATGGACGGATTGGAGATTTGAAGAGCTAGCAAGTGTGCCCTTTTTCTTCTTTTTAATATCTTGGTTGTTCTTTTAGTCTTTTCACAGCTTGATTGCTTGTTTAAAGTTGTTTAGAAGAACTAACAGATAGGATACTTAATACTTCTGCTTTTACTTGCTTTATTGATCTTCTTCTCTCCTCAATTATTGCTGGTGTGTGTGGATAGAAGAAAATGTGAATAGGGCATATTGACCTTGTATTCATGTATTCTTCTATCAAAATTAAGTCTTCTTCAATGTTGTATGTTAATCTGGAGAACAGTTTGCTTTAAGTATTAATTGCAGAAAAAACCTGAGAAATATAGGTTTGTATCTAAAAAGTTATACAACCAATCTAATTAATTATATGTCATTCCCTTTTCTAAATCCCTCTGAGGTGAGTGTTTGAATATGAGATCTATAATAAGTCTTCAATTCTAATTAATTTCACATCGCTTTGAACACATTTAAAACACATTTAAATTAGGATGGGTTTGGTCTTTTTTCAGTTTTTCTCCAACATACCGTGATGAATTTCTATTGTGTACCATTATTTGGGGAATTTCCATTGCCAGATCTTGATGGAGTCACATTTGGGACAACAGAAAGAAATAATATCAAAGGAATTTGTACTTTTGAAAAATCCAGTTCACCTGCCCCAACCAAAAAGCTCACCTAATTATTTTTAGACAAATGCAAAAGGCAGCAGGTAATTCCATTTCCATTACTTATAAGTACTTGTGCCTCTTAAGTAACTTTTGTCTTTATGATGATAAACATCCAAACAAGGAAAAGGGGAAGGTAGCTTTTATTTTCAAAGAAAAAAAACTCTGACAAAGCCATGCTTCACTTGACTACATATGCATATATCAAGCAGGAGAAAAAAAAGGGGAGAAAGGAGCTTTGAGTCAATTTCCAATCAATATCATAAGATAGTTGCATGGAGATTAAACACGTAATCAGCAAACAAAAGCATAATACTTCTCCGCATACATACGATTTCCCCACTGTACAAAGACAACTCGATACCCACTTATTCTGTCATAAACAAAAAGCGCTTGTAAATACAGTCAGACAGCACATTCTGGCAGGAAAAAGAATACATTTCCAAATCTCCTTCTATATTTCTATACAAAGATGAAACATTGAGCATATATGAGAAGGATCAGTGGCTTTTTGAGCCGGCCAAAACCATCATCATCTAATCTTGAGATCTTAACAGGAGGCTGATTCACGTATCTCCATTGATTCCGAAAATCCGGACTTTGTGCATGTTGGGGAACTTTGCAACTACAAGCACAATCACTGCAAGGGTGTTGAGAAAGAGCATAGGATGTTGGTAGTCTGTTGTATGTGAGGCTATCAAGTACCTGTTGGAAATAGGGATTGTGAGTGTGTTGTCCACCGAGTCTAGTTTAAGCAAACAATAACCAAAATAATTTTTTTTTTTTTTTAAAGATGATTATACTGACAGAATGCATACAAGAAAACAATTCTGTGTAACCAATATTTTTCTTGATATTAATGTCTTTCGGTTTGCTGGTAATCATGAGTTTTTGCAGGGAGGTGTTGTGAGTGTAATGGAAACGTAAATAACCAATCAGCGTAATTAGCAAAAGAGAACTTATCTACTGATTTAGGTTTTAGCAGACTGCAAGGAAAAAGAGAGGCAGAAATCCAGTGGGGAAACCACACCATACAGGCAACCCCTGTTTCCATGTTTGTTGGCCATCCATATTATGCATACTCATTGTGAAGCATTGCTGTGCTTTTATCCGTACTTGTAACTCAAACATTAGAATTGTGCAATCATCATCCAATAGAATTATTAATATTCAACACTCTTCTTCTATGCCATAAGAATGAAAAGAAGTTTCCACTTATGATATTTTCCTATGTAGTCTAATCCTCCAGAGACACAATAAAATAATATCTACCAAACACAAATAATTAAACTTAACAGCTAAAATGATATCCTAAATCAGCTTAATAAACAAAGTTCAACAAATACAGGTAGAGATGGATAACCAATCATATTGATTTGCAGACTAACAAGACATCCAAAGCATGTGAATCCATATGTATGTAAATGCAAAAGGGAAAAAAAGAAATAAGTCAGAAGATTATAAAGCACTGTAAATATCACATGAGACTTACAGCACGACAGGTACAACTGTTAAAAACTTTCTGTTGCGTGTAAGCTGCTTTCCATTGTCTATCTGCTCCCACCAAGTCAATCCATTATAAATACCCTGATCTTCACCAAATGGGGTTCCTTTCTTCCAGTGAAAGAAGTGATAAGTAACCTGGATAGAAAGTAGAACCAAATTCCCTCAATCATGGCTCATGAAATGTCAAGTGACTTTCTTGTTTTGGAACAAAACAGAACAAGCAGAAGGATGAACCCACATTTTAAGACAAGGTTATAGTTCATCTGGAATCCCCTAATACAGATCGCAATACCACTAAGCAACCAGAAGATTTCACCTTTGCCTTTATTTACAAAGTATAACAATGATATCAATTAAACTGATCCTAACAGGGCAACTTTCATCCAAAAAGTTTAATGCTAAGTATAGTTTTTGACCCAATCCATTAGTCATCATCATTGATTCCCCTCTTCCCTACCTTGACACAATCTATTAGTCATTATTATTGATTCCCCTCTTCCCTACCAAGAAATAAAAAGAAGACTTAGCAGTTCACAACTTTTTATTTGAAAAAGTACCATTAGTCTGCAATATACAACATGTGCACAATAGATAAATGTATAACTGTTTCTTGGGATATTTGATGCATATTAATTTCCAAAACCAGGTATTGCCATATTTGATATGTGGATTTAGTTTTGAAAAGGACATGAACCAATAAACCAAGAAAGGCTTCAAATATCACCAGTTAATGCATTACGTATACAGACATCAAATTGAACCATTAGTTAACCAAAACAAAGTAAACTTATCAGTCTAATTACAATTCTAAAACATACATTTGACAGAAGGAACTCAATTTACCAATATATTCAACAGAAAGAACTCAATCTACCATTCATTGTCTCAGTGCGCTGCATAACAGCTCTTTCACACATGAAAAGAGTGAAACATCAAAATTAACATAAAACTATTGCAATTTCTAATTGAGATAGATCTCTCCCCAATGTTGGGCTCAGATTCCAAGACACGTGTGGGTGATAAGAATGAATTCCAAGTAGACTTTCCACCTTGCATATGACAGAAAACAAAAAAAAAAAAAAAAAAAAAGAAAACTTGGATGTGTATGACACAAAAAAGTTCAAAATTTGATTTTGGCATTTCAACTTGAAACACAAGGGCAGCACAAAACCTCCCCCCCGGGTTTTTTGTTGCATAAGAACTACCCACTCATGTGCACAAACCTAGCCAGGAGAATGAATTACAGCATTGATGTTGTTCTTTTCAACAAACAACCACTAAATCAAAAGCCCTAATCACCAATCAAACAGGAGCATGATTTGCAACAATAGGAAGAACCCAATTAAAAAATAATCAATACGAATTACGAAACAATTTAACCAAACATAACCAATGAATAAGAAGATCGATAAAGAGAGAAACATTAACATACAAGAAAGTGGGCGAGATTGACGATGGTCCAAGCCATGCCGGCAGAGCAACCGAAGATGGAAAGAACGAGGAGCCAGGAGAAGAAGAGGATGAGTATATACGTCGTCCAAACTCCCGGGTACAAGAACCACTCGGTGTTCCGATTCAGATCCGGCGGCTGCACAGCCTTCACGTACAAATTCGCCATTATTGGATTCTGAAAAAGGACCCCAATTCTTCAGCTGCCTCTTTGACCAAAGGCTTCGTCTGGTTCTTGGGTTTTGGATGATGAAATTCGTTAGAGGCCAAAAAAAAAAAAAACCAGAATCGTTCTTCCCCCCTGCGTTTGGGATGGCGACGGGAAGACGATGCTAATTTGATAATAACAGACAATTACGTCCCAACTAAAAGAATCTAACGGCGTCGTCAAACGACGTCGTTTAGGGTTATGTAGTTAGTCAAAGATTAGACTAAAGGCCCGTTGAGGGTACAGCATGGTGTAGTGAGGTTGGGTTGGGTCACCTCAGAATTGGACTAAAACCAGACCTTTAGAATTCCCTGGGCTCACGGGCATGATCCACGTTGGAAGAAAATAGATTCAAAACATGCAAATGTGAATATTATAGAAAATTTTGAGATGGTTTAATTAATTAAAATTTTGAAATTATAAATTTAAATTTTGATATAGATGGAGAGGGACTTAGAAAAAAAAAATTATTATTTTTTATATAACTTGTTGTTATTAGATATAGTAAAAAAATATGAATTTTATAGGTAAGTATAGTTGTGGTTACTTATTATTTTATTAAGATTATTTAAAAATTATTTAATTTAATTAGCATTTTTTTATTTATAATTTTTTTCTTAAATTTTTAATTATATTATTTGAATACATTAATTTATAAATTAATTTTAACATATTAAATAATAAATATTAATTATTTTATTAATTATTTTTAATAACTAAATTGAATAAAATTTTATAAACTAAATAAAATAGTGATTGGAATAACCACACCGTGATAGGTGGGGTTGCTTTTCAAATCACAATGAATTTTGTTCATCCGTACATCATGCAATGCCTTTGTTTGAATGGGAGTGGACAAAAGAATATTGTCTTTTCCCAAAAATAAAACAATTAATTTTACTAAAAAAGTAATTTTTAGATTAAATTACATAATAAAAATACAGTTCAAATTATTAATTTGTTAAACTATTTTTTGTGAAATTTTTTATATTAATTATTAGTGATATTTTAATTATTCCAATACTCAAACAGTAAAATAACTGAAAAATATAAAACTCTAATTTTTTGTTTTTTTTTTTAAAAGAGTACTAAAGAAGTTTAACATCGTCAATGACTTAAATAATTAAGTGGTTATTTTTTTTTGTTGAAAGTAAAAGATTTTGAATTTAAGTTGTTTGGCATGCAGATGTAATGTAATAAAGGATGAGAGATAATTATCTCTTATTGTATAATCAAAATAAAAAAAAAAATTTAACATCTTGACCTAATTTTTAACATGAAGGTATAAACTATGATACGATGATAGGGACAGAGCTGCATGAAGTGATGGAAATTATACACAGTAGCACTAATTTAATTGGTTTGCGTTGGACACATGCATGGTTGAAAAACCTGCTATAATAAGAAGGCTCTAATTCCACTTGCGTATAACTTATCGTCCTTAAACTTTATCAAGTTATCTCCTCCGTACTCAAATATACCTAAATAATTAGGTCATCTCTTTCTCAGTGTTTGCCACATCAGGGGATTTGATTGGATTCTAATTAGCATGAAAAAAGAAAAAAAGAAAAGAAAAGTAAAGACGTCTTAATATTGAAAATATTAAAATATTTAATTATAATTATTAAATTTATTATATAATTATTTTAATGTCAAGAACATCTATATTTTTTCCTTTTCAATTAGTATTATCTTTGGATTAATCTTTAATTAATTCATTTATTTTCTTCAATTCATCAAAAGAATTCCCTAACTGCCCACCCTCTCCTCTTCCCTAGCCCCTTTGCTTTTTTCGCATTCTCTTTTGCTATCTTTACCCACCTGCCTAGGTAAGAGAAATGATTTTGAGATAATTTTTTTATATTATATTTTAATACAATTAAACATATTATTTAAATGATTGGTTTTTTTAATTTATATAGAATCAATGATATTAAATGCATTTACTTATTTAATAACATGTGAAAGTTATATTAAAAAATAATATAAAAAAGTTGTCTATATAGCACCACCAACTTAAGTAATTAAGGTGAATCAAAAAAGGATTTTTATTTTTTGGAAGAGTTGGTATCTAAAATTTGAAACTTTTAAATTTAAAGTTAAATTTATTAATAAACAACCATTCTCTTATAAGTTATATTAAGTTTAGGGTTTAAAACTTATTACCAACATTTAAAAAATTAATTTTTTTTAATTTGCTGAATTGATATAAGGATATACCCTTAAAATCATTTTTAAAAAAGAGTGATTTTAGGATACTAAAAATTGATTGAGGATATTTTAATAATAAATACTAAAAAAATGAATTTTAAAGTTTAAACTCTCAACTTTTTGTCATTTTAAAGCTAAAAAAAAATATGAACTTTTAACTTTGCAATTACGGAATTAATTAAAAAGCTATTAAAAAAAAACTGAGTTTTGCCCAATCGCGTGGTCAGCGACAAACGTGCACTTACTATGTATAAGCAAACTTCTAAACTCATTTTCCTGATATCCCGCTGCCTCCTTCCCGGTTTTTCATCCACTTACAAGGTTTAATTTGAAAGAATAGTAATTGGTACATATTTTGATTCAACATATTGTATAATATATTTATTAAAAAATTATTATTTGTTAATTTAAAATTAAAAACAAACAAATTTAATAATACAATTATACATACAAAAAATGAAAATTGATTGAATTAATTATATTTATATTATATTTTTAATAACTAAATTGAAACCGTATTAAAAAATGTATTGAACCAAAAATGTACAAATCATTTTTCAATTTAAGGATAGACTGACAAGTCCTAGCTAGCTAGTGTCCATTCGTCATATACATTATAAGACAAATTAAATAACAACACAAAAGGCATATATAATGCCACATGACGTTTCCCCTGGGAAGAGTTAACAGAAAGAGTATAAATACATAATTCTGTATTGAACATATAAATACACAAAAGGCATATAAAATGCCACATGACGTTGGTACAATCTTTCAAAAATACATAATTCTGTATTGAACCTATAAATTCACACACACTTCACCAATGACCAACTAAGTGATGAGAAACAAAGACAAAAGAGATCGAGATCTTCTAGTGCAGAAAACGGTTCTCCCCTTCATTTAGGAATTGCACCAATATATGTAGAGATGTCAAAGGAAGCACTGTCCGGGGTTGAATGGAGGATAAACGTACCGGATGGGACATCGTCCAAGATATTGGTGAGGGAATCCGGTCTGGTGAGTAAGATAAAAGGTCTGCTAGGAGGGCTAATCTTCACAGTTTGGAGGTTTCTGGTGAAGGCTTGGAGTTTAGGAAAGGCAGAGCCTGAAAAGGTTGTCCATGGTCTGAAATTAGGGCTGACAATTTCTATTGTTTCGCTCCTGTACTATGTGAGGCCATTGTACAACAGCTTCGGACACAATGCTATTTGGGCAGTTATGACGGTTGTGGTTGTTTTTGAGTCCAAAATAGGAGCCACGATATATAAATGCACTATAGAGTCACCGGCACTTTCGTTGCCGGGGCACTCGGCCTAGGTATTCACTGGCTTGCTGATCATGCAGGACAAAAGGCGAAGCCTGTGATTCTCGCAATCTCAGTTTTTCTATTCGGTACGTAATTTTTTTTACAAAACTCTCTAATTCACTCGTATGGATACATTCACCCCTAAATAAAAATAGGGATAAATTATTTATCCAAATCATAAATCAATACAAATCATTTTTTTTTAACATTTTTCGTTAAAAAATATTAACGTAGCAAACAAAATTCTAACAATTTTCATTAAAAAAGAGATGATTTATATTAATTTATAATTTAAAATAACAATTTATTCCTACTCTTTTTTAAGAGTGAAAATGTCCTTATCGATATTTGTTTAAAAGTGAATTGGAAGGTTCTGTCGTAATTTTTTTAATTTTTGTATCAGCCAAAGAA